TCCTTCCTCGGTATCGGCGTCTGAGCCGGTACCGTTGCAGCGTTCAATTTGTTGAACGCGTGCACTATCCGCCACCCTCCTGTTGCTTTTCGCACACAGAAGGTCGGAGAGCTATGTGGGGAAGTTGATTCCCTCACATGGCCCGCTGCTAAACGATCGGCAAAGAACTTGTCGATCGCAAGTACTTGTTCACGAGGCAGTGGCCACTGCTTCATGACACAGTACTTCGAGCCTGGTTTAAGCTCGACTTCGTGTCGAATACCTTTATCCTTCGGTAATTCGCACGGAACAGTTTCAGGGAATACATCCTTGAATTCAACCAAATCTTCATAGAGAGGATTTTCCTTGAGCGATTCCCATGATTGGGACTCATATCGCTCAATTCGTGTCTTTTCAACTAGGACACTCTCGTCCATAGATGAACTACTGAGAACTCTCTCGTTCTCAGTAAACACTGTTGCTGACCTTATGTCGGTTACATACTCGTCGTCAGCGACGAGTATGCAGATCTGCTTGACTTTGCCACTACGCAGATCACGCAAGAACCTTTTATGTTCGAGCGTTGGCAACTGAGTGATCTCCGAAGTTAACTTCGGAGGCGCAATCAGATCAAGTGTATAAGCGCCTACACATGATCCGTTATTGACTATGACATTCAATGTCTCTGTCATTTCCTGGGGACTTATTCCCTCAGGCTTCGAAGGACTTATTCCTTCGTCTTCCCGAGGACTTATTCCCGCGGGTTTCGGGGAACTTATTTCCGCCGTATTTGTAATCTTGGGACTTATTCCCTTTACTTCCTCTAGCTGGGGTTGCGCAACCACAGCGAGATCCTCTACGAAAGACCCTCCAGTCGATCTAGGATTATCGTTTCGCTTAACCTGAGCGATCGATTGTTTCTCTTCTAGATGTTCCCCTCTAGGGATACATCTTTGTCCCAGTCCACCCGACTTATTCGAGTGGTGGACCTTCGGCGCAGCCTGTGTTTCCTCACAGCCGCCGGAACTTTGCTCCGAAGTGTAACCGTTTGGTACACTAAGGTTTTGTGCAGTCGTACTAACGACCGTACCACAAGTGAGGCCATCGCACTCACTCGTAGTACATCCACACGCTTGTGGACGCTCCAAAACGTTCATCAGATGGCCATCTGATGAACAAGCGGCAGGCATCGTTACTGTACGATGTTGCCAGTTTACCCGTGGTTCGTACCTTCTGAGCCACGGTATTCCAAGGATGACATCAAATTTGTCATCCAAATCCAATACGATAAAGTCATCGTCGTATTGGGTATCTTCTAGCGTATAGTGAATCTTCACTATACGCTTCATATTTGATTACGGATGCGCCTGTCGCAAGACGTACCGTCATCCTCGTAGGAGGTGTGTCACATTCACTGAATTTAAAGTGACCATCTTCTAGCGATTGGCGTCGCACAAAATTGTTGGACGCCCCACAATCGACTAGAGCTCGAAGGGACAACTTATTCGTCACTTCGAGTTTCAAGGTAATGAGTGAGATCTCATTACCTAGGGCAGCAACGCACAATGTCTGTGTGTTGGGAGCAACCTTCATCAAGAGGCCTACAAATTCTCTTGACGTTGCTGGATCAGTAGGGTGCTCCGCACCTACTGATCCTGTCCGTTTTTTGACGGTCCATCCCGTTGTTGCGTCTTTGCACCAACTGCGGACCCTCGTCCCTGCCCCTTTCTCATGGGTGGACGGTCACTACGCCCAGTGTCGCGAGACACTGGACGAGGGGCACTACACTCGTAACCGTAGTGTCCTGTCTTTTGACATCTGTTGCATCTCTGCAACTTCTTGTAGCCTGTAGAGCGAGCCTTCTCGCTCTCTACATAACAGAGTTCCATCGGCTCTGGACCTCCGTTGTCATATCGTCTCGGTTGACGATATGATGTCGAGCTGGCGCGAGCCTGTCTCAGACTGAAGTCTTCCTGCTCCGCAATTGAAATGGCTTGTTCTAGTGAATCTAGTTCAAGCCGGAACAGGTGAGTCTTGACGGGACCATCCGCAAGACCCTGCATGAACACCGAAACCAACGTGTGTTCATCCACCGGATTGGAACTTATACAACTCGTGAGATGTCGTATATGTTGAGCGTAAGCGTGCACATCACGCTTACCCTGTTTGAGCTTCAAGAGTTCGGTTCGAGCTCTGAACTCAGCTCTAGGCGGTTCAAACGTTTGTCTGAGCCGCGACTTGAAGACTTCCAACGACCCAAACGCATATGGGTCGTGCAGCTTGAGCCCCAGTGCCCAAGTCTTGGCACGTCCTGCCAGATTTGACTGGGCAAATGCAACTTGCATATCCCCGTCGTCGATGCGACGCGCCCTTATGGCGTCATCCAATTCGACGAACCATCTCAAGAGGGAGTCTTCTTCGACCCCCTATACTTTGAGATGTCAATCTTCAAAGTCTCGGGCCGACGCGAGTGCATCGACCCGCCAGCAGCAGCCTGCTGCTGTCTCAACAGTTCAAACTGTTGAGCACCTTGTTCTCTCAACAACTCTGCTTGTTGAGAACCTTGTTGGTGAAGCAAGGCTACTTTCTCGCGTTCTGCGTCAAGTTCATTTTGAATGAACTTGGCGATAGTAGCATGTTGGGCATCTCTATTGAGAGCCTCTAGCATGACGCTAACAGCATGGATGCCCATGGTCGAACCCATTCGTTCAACCGCATCCCATTCGACATCGCTCAAATGGGAGTAGCCGTCACGCGTAGCGTGAAAGCTTTGGTCATCTTCATCATCCAACATATTCATGTTGGATGTGAACGCGGTCCTTGGACGGACTACGAAGTGCTACCAGGTGTAACGGGGCACCCTGAAGCTTGTACTGGTGACAGTACAAGCTACTTATTCTGATAACAGAATAAGGCGGTGCCTCGTAACTTCACGTACACTCGTACGTGCAGAGGAAGACGGTAAGAAGAAGCGAGTACTCGGTTAGAGTAAAAAGTAGAACCGTATTTATAATAGTTAATGTCTGCAATAAATCACTATTTATCTTCATCTAACTATGTCTAAATACAAATGTGTAAATCAGTTATCTGCTCACCACTCATTGCGTGCGTCTGTCGTGGCGCGTCTTCGTTGGTTGATATAATGGCCTATATCAACCAATTAGGAACTACTTGGAAGTGCTACCGAATATTGTCCTTATGACAATATTCTGAGAATATAACTCTTATAGTTATATTCTATTAACAATTTCTTATAAATTGTTTTGTAACGATTCACCCCGTTACACCTAACACACATTCTTAAAATGCCATTGAGCGTCATCCGCACCTCGGAAAAGCGAAGTGCAGGAATCTTTTTTTGGACGGCCAGAGGGCCAGGGTTTCAGCGTGTTCTAACACCTAATTGTCGTTAATCCACTTCCACTGATCGGGGTGCCGACGTGACGATCGGGGTAGCGTTGCGCAAGTTGTGGCTCGACCATTATACTTTGATTAAATTGTATGGAGACGTTACCGGGGTCGTCATTGCCCACTACCGTAATTCAAGCTGCAAGTAACTAGGGGAGGCAGAAGTAAGATCCATCATGGTTAGGCAAAATGATTCCTTGCATGGAATGCAGATCTATGCAACTTAAATGGCAGGATCCCGTCGAACTTGGATGGCGTAGTAGCTAGCCATTCGCACCCCGAATCCATGCACCATCGTTTTAGTAGTTATCGTCTTCAGCTACAAGCGGTAGCCATCTTGTGGGATTCACATCGACCGTGGTATTAATAAAGGTACGTGCAAATCGACTGAAAGCGGACAAGGAAGCTTCGTATGCACCGCAGATCTGACCACCTTCCTTCAAGCATAATTTGAACTCGATACACGTCTCGTAGCTTAGTAATTGTCTATAAATCGTTGACGCGAAGAGCGGAATAGCAAATCCATTGTACGGATTAGCCCCGCCCAAAATATAACCAATAAATCTTTGAATCGACATGGCTTCCGAATATCTGCTGTCTAAGCTCATCTCCCAGCAAACGTTTCGGGTAGACTCTCCGCCTCCTTCATCAACTGCAGCAATCTTGTTCTTCTTCATTTCATTGCACTCGAAACGTCAAGCGGGTAAGTTAACAACGATTATTAGTCCAGGCAGCTATCGACAAGTGCATGACAGTAGCATTTCTCGACAGTGTAAAGTTGCCGATCTTCCTACGCTTATCACACTGGATCACCGCGGCAGATGGTCCCGGCGTAGCACCACTTGAAAATTCTGGCCAGCCTTTCGGACAAAATAGCTATACTTTGACATTGGCAAATATTGGGTTCCCCGCGCGATGGAGCACTGCCGGTTCATGGATCACTCTATCAAGCGTAAACTAGCTTCCACACATCTCAAAATACATGCAAAGAGCTGAGGGATATACTACTTCTTTATGTCCGCGTTAGACGTGACGCAGAAGCCTGCGGGATTGCGTCCTATTAGCAATGTGAAGCTCGGAAACTTTGGGTTGATTGCTATCTTGTGCTAGGTGGAGTAAAGGCGTTCTTGTTGCTGCCCCGATCCGATTTTGGATCACTTAAAATAATTAATTTATTTTTCAGGACACCATTTTACTCTGATAACGTACGAGTACAACTAGGGTACGGAAATCCCTGTCAAACGTACACACAACTCATGGGAGGGAACACTGCATCTATCCTGTCATTTCTGCAGAATGAAGCCTAACACATTGCTTTAAAGAATAGACCGTGGTCCGTACATTACATCGATAGGGAGACACCTTCAACTAACTAACTTACCCACCTGCGCCTACCGATTTGTTTATCGCCCATTAGTTGGGCGATTGTCGGCATCTTTGCATTTTTCACGCCCTCCCAATAAAAACACGAATGTCTTTCTACGCTGATAAAATTGTCTGCTTTTTTGCTTTCATCATATTTGGTTTTAGTACCATGCCCTGCCCTGTGCTACCAAAAAGCAAATCTCAATTTATCTGCGCCCACCCGTGACACACCCACTGCCCAGCCATACCTACTGCATCGGTGAGTGTGGGGGTATGTGTAGTGTCCGTCGCACGTCTCTACAATAAATCCTTGATTTTTGGCACTGACTTTTGTGCATAAACGGTTCCAGACGCTTGTCCACCTTCCGGATCTGAAACTGTCCGATCGGCAGGTGCACTGCAATCTGGTCCCTCCCGTTTGACACGGCACAGCCTGTAGATCTGTGTATCCAGTATCGAAAGACCAGAATCTGCGCAGCTGATAGAGACGTATGTGCCATTAGCATTTCGAGGCAGCAAGCAATAGCATACACCAGTCGCCACTTACCGTCACCCATTCACGACGCACCTAAAAGCTCATTCCACAATCTTCTCTGTGTGTACCACAGCTTCTAACACTACAGAGGTGAATCTCTTGTCGACACCAAGCCCGACCTTCTCACATGTCCAAGCTCTTCCTCCTGGTCGTCCTCGCACTCGTTGAGTGCGCTCGTAGTGATGCTCTTTCGGCTACGTCAGATGGACAGCTGACCAAGCTAGCAACGCCGAACGAAGACTTAGCCACTCAGTCGGAACAGGACGGTAAACGGATACTTCGAGCGACCGGTGCTCGTACTCCATCCGGAGGCTGGGATGGACTTCTTCCGTATGCAAACTCGAAGATCAAGGCTAACTACGGAGCTGTATCGAAGATGTCCAAGAAGTCGGGACACAAGAAAAAACCCGCTAAAGGGTTATTTCGTAAAAAAAAAAAACCATTCGGCACTCGGGTCATGGACAAGATCATTTTTGTGCCAAAGTGGGTCGTCAAACAAGTCGTGGCGTTCTTGAGGATCATTTTCGGATCAAAGTAGAAGTTGAAGTAGCGGCTGTCAAGAGAAAGAGGTGAGGGGGGCGGGGAGCGCGAGAGGTGTGCTAGGATTGACGTTGCTTCGGATACGTACATTTCGACCTTGGAACTGGAGGTCTGAGGATCTGAATGCCTTTGCTACGCAGGACATGTCCTTAAACATTGATGATATTTGCCGGCCTAGATTGCCGACTTGAATTTTTCGGTGATCGCATGTGCTCGCGTGACTGTCATAGGTTGACATGTGGTGCTGTAGACTCGGGTATGTTAAAGCTGGTCATCATTTGAGAATGTAAACAATGGCGGTGAACGAGGTTTGTATCATTGTTAAACTGTCGTCTTTGTCGTCGTTAGTGCGCACCTAATACGCGTCCATACCTGTTCTAATGTATTTTCTTCTCGTGTCGGCATCATCAACCGCATTGCATCGTAAGGAAGCAATGGTCACGGGATAAGGAACGCGTGTCGATCGCCTAACTCAGCATTTTAAATACCTAAGCAACAAGCGGTGGGTCTCTCTTCACTCGCGAACTTTGATGATTCGTTTCATCAACTCTAGTACGACAAGTACCAACAGGACACGGTTTATTGATTTTAAGCGCTTTCAGGGATTGCTAACATTAAGTACTTGTGGCTTGGATTTACAATTAGTATGCCCCATTAGACCATTCTATTATTGCATCGAGCGAGACCGCAACGGAGCTCGGAATGAAATGCATCATCAACAAATAAAGGTCACAGGCGGATGTGACTTACGTAATGAGCCTCTTATGTCAACTAGAATAAGTACAGCTGCAAGTATGAGTGGCCACTAGTACTGCGGTAGCGATTGATCATGGATAAACATTTCCATCGACTGCAATTAAATAAAAAAGAAAGATGCTGCTAGTGAGCGAGAATCTGCAATAAAATGAAAGAACGCTTGCTTGTCAGCAGCACCGTAATTTGCTTCCACTTGTGGCAATGTATATAACGGGGTAGCCCGTTACACGATGTTGACACCAAACGGTGTCAATTTAAATATTGTCTTGTTTGACAACATTCTACCGATATTATCCGGGATGGATAATATTGACGGAATGTTATCCCCTTTTGAAGAATATTCATTCGCTGCTCCAAGATTGGTTGATATAAGACATATCAACCATAGATTGCCACCAATCGCTGCCAGACGCGCGCAATGAGTGGTGAGCAGGTTGTCGTCATACGACGACGTATTTTTAATATATTTGGAAAAAGATTAAAGTTAAATTGATAGCTTAATTGCGTTAAAAACGGTTCTCTTTCTACCTTTACTTGAACGAATCGTTTAAGTAGATTAGCTTCCCCTGCACGTACTAGTGTACGTGAAGTTTCGTGGCACCCAGACAAAGGGTGCCCCGTCACACCTGGTAGCACTTCGTAGTCTGTCCAACGACTACTTAGTTTCCGTCCAACATGAACATTTTTAGACGTAGAAGACGACAGCTTTCACGTTAAACTTGAAGTCTACTCCCATCTGAGTGACTCAGAATGGGAGGTAGTCGGTCGCATGAGTGTGCTCATGGGAGAACCCGCCATCAGTGGTAGGTTGGAGTCTCTAAGCAGAGATCAGCAAAATGCTGCTATCTACAATTTTCTAAAGGGATGTTTGCCTTCGAAAGCAAGACTATAGCATTGGTTCAAACACCAAGGCTCTCAGCAGTCGATGGGCGGGCCGACGCACATGCGTCGACCCCAAACCTTGAAAATTGATATTTCATGGTACAAGGGAACTGACGAAGATTCCCTTTTAATATGGTTCGTCAAGTTAGACGACGCAATCAGGGCCCGTCACATCGAGGGTGACGAGATGCAAGTCACCTTTGCCCTGTAAAATTTGACAGGACGCGCAAAGACTTGGGCCTTAGCGGTCAAGCTTCACGACCCAAACGTGTTTAGGTCGTTCTAGATCTTCAAGTCTCGGCTCAAAGAGACATTTAAGCCGCCGATAGCCGAGTCCAGAGCAGGCTCTGCACTCTTGAGGCTAAAGCAAGGTAAGCGTGACGTGCACGCTTACGCACAGCACCTGCGCTACCTTGCAAGTAGCGTTACGGAAAACCCTGTTGATGATCACACGCTCATCAACGTGTTCATCTACGGCCTTGTAGATGGGCCGGTGAAGACCTGCATGTTCCGAGAGGACTTCCATACGCTGGAAAGGGTGATAGCGTATGCGGAACAAGAAGAATTCAGCCTGAGACAGTCTCAGGCTAACTCGTCAAACTATCGTACGACGAGACGACGGGAAACAGGAGATCCGAACCAATGGACCTCTGTTACATCGAGAGCGACAACTCTCGCTATCTGAGTCACAAGCGAACGGCAAGATGTCATCGCTGTCAGAATATCGGACACTACGCTCATGAGTGTAGTGTCCCGAGCACTGCGACACGTCCAAAGACAGGACTTGATGACCGCCGTTGGCCAAGGAAGGGTCCGAGGCGTGGGTCCGACCATGTCGCCAAGCCGCGACAGCAAGTCGGACCGCCAATAAACGGACAGGGTCAGTAGGGTCGGAGCACCCTGATGATCCAGCAACGTCAAGAGAATTTGCAGGACTCTTGACGAAGATTGCTCCCAACACGCAGCCTTTGTGTGTTACTGCCCTTAGTGTTGAGGATTCTCTCATCACTTAAAAGATCGAAGTGAAAATTGGAATGTCACTTCGCACCCTAGTCAACTGTGGGGCGTAGAAACAGTTTTATTTGACGCCAGTCGCTGAGGGATAGTAGGCTCAACTATGTTGAGCGAGAGTTCCTTCCAACGAGGGTGACGGTGTGCCTTGCTACAGGCGCATCCGTAACAGTGAACGAACGTATAGTGGGAATCCACTACACGCTAGAAGAAAAGCAGTACTATGATGCCTTCATTGAAACGGGGTGAATCGTTACATAACAATTTATAAGAAATTGTTAATAGAATATAACTATAAAAGTTATATTCTCAGAATATTTTGTCATAAGGACAAATATTCTGTAGCACTTACGAGTAGTTCCTAATTGGTTGATATAGGCCATTATCTCAACCAACGAAGACGCGCCACGACAGACGCACGCAATGAGTGGTGAGCAGATAATTGATTTACACATTTGTATTTAGACATAGTTAGATGAAGATAAATAGTGATTTATTGCAGACATTAACTATGATAAATACGGTTCTACTTTTTACTCTAACCAAGTACTCGCTTCTTCTTACCGTCTTCCTCTGCACGTACCAGTGTACGTGAAGTTACGAGGCACCGCCTTATTCTGTCATCAGAATAAGTAGCTTGTACTGTCACCAGTACAAGCTTCAGGGTGCCCCGTTACACCTGGTAGCACTTCTTAGTCCGTCCAAGGACCGCGTTCACATCCAACATGAATATGTTGGATGATGAAGATGACCAAAGCTTTCACGCTACGCGTGACGGCTACTCCCATTTGAGCGATGTCGAATGGGATGCGGTTGAACGAATGGGTTCAACCGTGGGCATCCATGCTGCTAGCGTCATGCTAGAGGCTCTCAATAGAGATGCCCAACATGCTGCTATCGCCAAGTTCATTCAAAATGAACTTGACGCTGAACGCGAGAAAGTAGCCTTGCTTCACCAACAAGGTTCTCAACAAGCAGAGTTGTTGAGAGAACAGGGTGCTCAACAGTTTGAACTGTTGAGACAGCAGCAGGCTGCTGCTGGTGGGTCGATGCATTCGCGTCGACCCGAGACCTTGAAGATTGACATCTCTAAGTATAGGGGGGTCGAAGAGGACTCCCTCTTGCGATGGTTCGTCGAATTGGATGACGCCATAAGGGCGCGTCGCATCGACGACGGGTATATGCAAGTTGCATTTGCCCAGTCAAATCTGGCAGGACGTGCCAATACTTGGGCACTGGGGCTCAAGTTGCACGACCCATATGCGTTTGGGTCGTTGGAAGTCTTCAAGTCGCGGCTCAGACAAACGTTTTAACCGCCTAGAGCTGAGTTCAGGGCTCGAACCGAACTCTTGAAGCTCAAACAGGGTAAGCGTGATGTGCACGCTTATACCCAACATATACGACATCTCACGAGCTGTATAAGTTCCAATCCGGTGGATGAACACACGTTGGTTTCGGTGTTCATGCAGGGTCTTGCGGATGGTCCCGTCAAGACTCACCTGTTCCGGCTTGAACTAGATTCACTAGAACAAGCCATTTCCATTGCGTAGCAGGAAGACTTCAGTCTGAGACAGGCTCGCGCCAGCTCGACATCATATCGTCAACCGAGACGATATGACAACGGAGGTCCAGAGCCGATGGAGCTCTGTTATGTAGAGAGCGAGAAGGCTCGCTCTACAGGCTACAAGAAGTTGCAGAGATGCAACAGATGTCAAAAGACAGGACACTACGCTTACGAGTGTAGTGCCCCTCGTCCAGTGTCTCGCGACACTGGGCGTAGTGACCGTCCACCCATGAGAAAGGGGCAGGGACGAGGGTCCGCAGTTGGTGCAAAGACGCAACAACGGGATGGACCGTCAAAAAACGGACAGGATTAGTAGGTGCGGAGCACCCTACTGGTCTAGCAACGTCAAGAGAATTTGTAGGCCTCTTGATGAAGGTTGCTCCCAACACACAGACGTTGTGCGTTGCTGCTCTAGGTAATGAGATATCACTCATTACCTTGAAACTCGAAGTGACAAATGAGTTGTCCCTTCGAGCTCTAGTCGATTGTGGGGCGTCCAACAATTTTGTGCAACGCCAATCGCTAGAAGATGGTCACTTTAAGTTCATTGAATGTGACACACCGCCTACGAGGATGACGGTACGTCTTGCGACAGGCGCATCCGTAACCGTCATGAAGCGTATAGTGAAGATCCACTATACGCTAGAAGATACCCAATATGACGATGACTTTATCGTATTGGATTTGGATGACAAATTTGATGTCATCCTTGGAATACCGTGGCTCAGAAGGTACGAACCACGGGTAAACTGGCAACATCGGACAGTAACGATGCATGCCGCTTGTTCATCAGATGGCCATCTGATGAACGTTTTGGAGCGTCCACAAGCGTGTGGATGTACTACGAGTGAGTGCGATGGCCTCACTTGTGGTACGGTCGTTAGTACGACTGCACAAAACCTTAGTGTACCAAACAGTTACACTTCGGAGCAAAGTTCCGGCGGCTGTGAGGAAACACAGGCTGCGCCGAAGGTCCACCACTCGAATAAGTCGAGTGGACCGGGACAAAGATGTATCCCTAGCGGGGAACATCTAGAAGAGAAACAATCGATCGCTCAGGTTAAGCGAAACGATAATCCTAGATCGACTGGAGAGTCTTTCGTAGAGGATCTCGCTGTGGTTGCGCAACCCCAGCTAGAGGAAGTAAAGGGAATAAGTCCCAAGATTACAAACACGGCGGAAATAAGTTCCCCGAAACCCGCGGGAATAAGTCCCCGGGAAGACGAAGGAATAAGTCCTTCGAAGCCTGAGGGAATAAGTCCCCAGGAAATGACAGAGACATTGAATGTCATAGTCAATAACGGATCAAGTGTAGGCGCTTATACACTTGATCTGATTGCGCCTCCGAAGTTAACTTCGGAGACCACTCAGTTGCCAACGCTCGAACATAAAAGGTTCTTGCGTGATCTGCGTAGTGGCAAAGTCAAGCAGATCTGCATACTCGTCGCTGACGACGAGTGTGTAACCGACATAAGGTCAGCAACAGTGTTCACTGAGAAAGAGAGAGTTCTCAGTAGTTCATCTATGGACGAGAGTGTCCTTGATGAAAAGACACGAGTTGAGCGATATGACTCCCAATCGTGGGAATCGCTCAAGGAAAATCCTCTCTATGAAGATTCGGTCGACTTTAAGGATGTATTCCACGAAACTGTTCCGTACGAATTACCGAAGGATAAAGGTATTCGACACGAGGTCGATCTTAAACCAGGCTCGAAGTACTGTGTCATGAAGCAGTGGCCACTGTCTCGTGAACAAGTACTTGCGATCGACAAGTTCTTTGCCGATCGTTTAGCTACGGACCATGTGAGGGAATCAACTTTCCCACGTAGCTCTCCGACCTTCTGTTTGCGAAAAGCAACAGGAGGGTGGCGGATAGTGCATGCATTTAACAAGTTGAGTGTTGCAACGGTACCGGCTCCGACGCCGATACCAAGGAAGGACGTAATCATTGATGGTATGTCAAAGAGTGCCATCTTTTCGTCCATGGATTTGATGGGTGGCTTCTATCAAATCCTTATGCGAGAACGGGATATACTCTATACCGCAGTTAGCACGCCTAGCGGCATGCTCTGGGAATAGCTAGTAATGCCACAAGGGCTCAGTAATGCCCCTGCCACGTTCAACAGATGTGTATCACATCTGTTGAGACCAGTACGAGAATTCGCGCCGAGTTATTTCGATGACGTATTCATCCATAGTCGGGCTATGGATGGAAAGTCGGACGTTGAGGTTCACAGGTACCACGTCCGACAAGTTCTTACAATCATGCGAAAGCATCAACTGTATGCAAACCTCAAGAAGTGTATATTTGCAACAAGCGAAATACCACTTCTTGGGTGCATCGTTGGTAAGAACGGTGTACGTCCTGATCCCGAAAAGATCAAGGCGATCACCGACTGGCCTGTGCCGGTTGATGTCAAAGGTCTTCGAAAATTCCTTGGGCTAGCGGCGTATTTGCATAAGTATTCACGCAATTACGCCGAGATGACTGTGCACCTCTCTCGTTTGTTGAAAATGAACGAGAGGTGGTCATGGAATGCTGAATGTCAGCGCTCCTTTGATGGTATCAAGCAGAGCTTGATACAATCCTCAGTCCTAGCAATAGCCGATCAGGACAGGCCATTTCATGTGGTCTGTGATGCCAGCGATTTCGCAATCGGCTGTGCATTAATGCAGTACGATCTTGAAGGCGTTGAACGCGTCGTCTGCTATCAGTCGCGTCAGCTGCAACCAGCTGAGCGGAACTATCCAGTGCATGACAAGGAACTCCTTGCCATGAAGTATGCACTCGCGAAGTTCAGAGTCTATCTATTAGGAGATAGACACTTCATTGTTTACACTGACCATGCGTCATTACGCACGGCAGTGAACAGCCCGCACCTTTCACAACGAATGGCGCGGTGGTTGTCATTCTTTGCGGAATACAACTTTACGGTCGAGTACAAACCAGGACGACTTAATGTCGTCGCTGATGCACTCTCATGTCGTCCCGACTTTGAACCAGTCGTGAAACCCAACCGTGAGACAGCCACTGTTGCGGCTATGACGTCCTCAGCACCATCTTAAACGTTGCATGATGATGTAAGGCGGGCATACGCCCAAGATGGTGAAATCGTGAAGTTGTTGACACATCTCTCACAACCATCTCGAGAATCGTTGAAACGATCGTCGTCCGCGTATCGACCTGCATCAGATCGATACACTACTCGCAACGGTTTACTGTACTATACAGCCGTTTCTGGTGACACACCACGTGTTGTCATTCCAGATGATACTGATCTGCGTTTGCGGATCATGTTCGAGTATCACGATGCTCCAATAGGAGGACATCGTGCCCGAGAGAAAACATATCTCACGGTAAGTCGAGACTTTTACTGGCCCCCCAGAATCAGTTTGTGCGAAATTATGTTCGCGCATGCGAAGTCTGTCAACGAGTGAAGTCAAGTCCTTCACTTCGTGCACCTTTACAGCCTCTACCGGTTCCGGCTGAGTGCTGGGAATCCATCTCAATGGATTCCGTCTTCGGGTTACCCAAAGACGCACGCGGGAATACGGGTATTCTCGTATTTGTTGACAGATTCAGCAAAATGGTACACCTTGTGGCTGTACCAGAGACAATCACGGCAAGTGGCTGTGCTTGTGTCTTTATTGACACCATCTTCCGACTTCATGGGTTGCCCCGTGAACTCGTATCAGACAGAGATCCACGATTCACTGCTGATTTCTGGCGTTCCGTGTTCAAATCACTCGGAACGCGCTTGAAGATGTCAACATCTGATCATCCAGAGTCAGATGGTCAGACGGAACGTGCCAATCGTGTCCTTGAAGAGATACTTCGAGGATACGTACACTCCTTTAAGAGTTGGAGTGAGTTTTTGCCAATGGTAGAGTTTGCCATCAACAACTCGGTGCATGCGTCCACGACACATACACCGTTTTACGTGAATGGCTTACGTCATCCGCGTGTACCCACCTTAATAGAGTGTGACTCTGGTTTAAGGGGGGGACTCGCGCGTGCAATAACCGATTTGGTTCACGCTCATCACGCTCTGACGAAGAGGTCATTGCGTTTGATGCCGATATCGATAACAACGATATCGAAGAAGATGATGCCAGTGAGAGTGCAGAAGCCCTCACTGAAGAAAAGGTTGATGTTGCTGCAGTGCACTCATAGTGCACTGAAGCTAACAAGTCAGCAGATGTGTTCATACTGGCTCGTGAAACGGTAGTCCGTTTTGTGCAATACTCCATCGCCGAAGCGATGGATAAGCAAAAGCAAAACGCAGACAAGAATGGAAGGGCAAACACTCTTTTATTTAATCAAGGTTACTTAGTCCTACTGTCTACGGTTAATCTACCAAAGCCTGTAGTGACTAACTTGGGTAGCAGTAAACTGCTACCCCAAGTACATTGGCCCATTTCGTGTATTGCACCGCCTAGGCAATGCATACACGATCGAATTGCCACGTAAGATGCGAACGCATCCCACGTTTTACGTTGGCCGGCTTAAGCCGTACCATCAGTACGCTGCTTCTTCCGATGAAGAGCGCCCTTGCGCTCAAGCATCTCGCAGAGAGCCTTGTGCTCCCGATGGCGGGCATCAACAAGGGTCTGAAGAGCAGTTATCTCATCCCGAGACCGATCAACAATCCCACGAGCTACCCTTAGCTCGTCACGAAGAGATGTCAGAGATCTCTCGTTCTCAAGCTGAGCAAAGGCAAACTCAGCTCGATGCTTCGAGGCAGTGTCCGCCATTTGGAGACGCTTATTCCGCTCATGCTCGAGATCGTCGCGTAACCCTTGCGTTACGCGATCAAAGAAGCTCTCGGGAACACACCAATCCACATGATCGTGTGGAGAGCGTCTTTCCTCCTCCTCCACCTCCATTAGAGGACTCTCGCGGTGGCCAGCGCTATCTAGTTGAGCAGCTGTTGAACCACCGCGACGTGAACGGACGTCGGACGAGTTATCTCGTCCGGCGGCGCGGCTATCCCCCGTCCTGGGATTCTTGGGAGCCCCGCTCCCAACTGATGGTTGATGTAATGGGTCTGGTCGAGCAGTACGACGCGACACATCCTGTGCCGCAGAAGGACCGCTGGAGAAAGTCTTCCCGGCACGGTCGTAAAGGGATTTCAGGTTGTCAATCCCTTCGTACATCTCAATAGAGATACGTACGCGCCACCACGGGCTGTTAGGGAGGTAAGCCTCCTTAAGTGCTCGGCAGAGTTGTTCACACAACATGGGCACGAGTCTCCCCAAGAGAGGCAGGGTAATTCTTTCTCCCTTGACAGACGATGCAGCTTGTAGCGTGCACCTGTCGGGGTTCGCTTTTCAAACTTATCACGAGCTTTGATAAGTTTGTCGTTCCAAGCGTCACGACCTACATCCTCAAGGTTATGGATGTAGGCGTTCCACGCTTGAAGCAGTGAGGGACCATCACGCTTGTGATTCCCACTGTACCATCGATGTCTAAAGAAAGCATCGATGAAGAAATCATTCTCAGCGCGGATAGTTTTTCGCACTGGGGTCAAGGTAATGGATCCTTGACGAATCGAACAATCGTGCTCGATTACGATCACTTGTCGGCGACGACAAGTGATCCATGACTGATTTAGGAGGCATCCATGCCTTCTTCTCGGGAGCGAGACGCAACACATTGCGGTCCCGCTCTTCCTGCGACGTGCCGACAGAAGTACTGGCACCTCGCTGTGAAGTGGTGTCCACAGGAGAACCGACACCACTATTAGCGCCCGAGTCTCGCGACCTCGAGCGCCTACGCTTCGGCGATAGTTCATCTGATTCATCAGATGAACTAAAGATGCTGCGACGCAAAGCATCGTCCATGCCACGCTTGGCAGGCGGCTTAGATTCAATCGCCGTCGATACGGATCCGTCATCCGTATCAGGAGAGTATGATACACCGAGCTCATACTCTGTGAAGACATGAGTGTCTTCATGACCAGCGCCTGCATCACCAAGTGACACAGGCTGAGTCGCTTCAGCAACCGATGAGACATCAGTTGCTGCGGTTTCTGCTTCGGCGTCCGCACAGAGACGTGCGGACGCGCTCTCGGCGGCCCTGCTCACGCATCGCATGGGCTTGTAAACCATGCGATGAAACGTTGGAAAGTGGACGCGGACCAACAAGTGCAAACCCTGTCCCAACTGATTTGGGACGAGTATCCATTTAGTCAATCAGTCACTAATGTGACTGATGTTTAGGGGGGTGATGTAACGGGGTGAACCGTTACATGACAATTTATAAGAAATTGTTAATAGAATATAACTATAAGAGTTATATTCTCAGAATATTGTCATAAGGACAAATATTCTGTAGCACTTACGAGTTGTTCCTAATTGGTTGATATAGGCCATTATATCAACCAACGAAGACGCGCCACGACAGACGCACGCAATGAGTGGTGAGCAGATAGTTGATTTACACATTCGTATTTAGACATAGTTAGATGAGGATAAATATTGATTTATTAACAGACATTAACTATGATAAATGCAGTGCCGCTTTTTACTTAAACTAAGTACTCGCTTCTTCTTACCGTCTTCCTCTGCACGTACGAGTGTACGTGAAGTTCCGAGGCACCGCCTTATTCTGTCATCAGAATAAGTAGCTTGTACTGTCACCAGTACAAGCTTCAGGGTGCCCCGTTACAGCTTGACTCCAAGTACCTTGAACCAGATATGCAGCAGGCTACGCGCAAACAAGATGGCCAACCCGTGCTAGTTGTCACGTGTAACAAGGGTATTTGATGCTCTAGTTTCGTCCAAAGTCTTGACGACTGCAATTTTAGCAGCGTATAGATCTATTTGCAGCAACGCCGCCTCGACAACGACTACTACGATCGACCTTTCATGGAAACTCGCATGTTTGTCCGCTAATCTCGCGCTAGCTACACACACGATCATGTAGTTTACTTGGAACCAGTTGAAACGCTGGCGTTAGAAAACGCTTACAGTTGCATTTAAAACAGCTTCCGTTAGTCAGAAAAGAAGCACCGACACAATCAAATGGAACACGTACTTAAAACCCATCCAATTCCACGAGCCGGGTTAAGCATTACACGATGGACAAAGCAGCTTGCCAACGCTGTGCCAAATAAAGACAGGGTCCTTCGTCATCAACGTCATCGGTTGGATAGAAAGTCCAGCGCAGCGTCCACCACCGCCACTGCTTTCACCCGGGCTCAAGTGAAGTAACTAAACGTGACAGTATCACATTAACGTCCATTAGCCTCAACAAGTGCTAAACAAGTCAGTCTTTACTTCACCTGCACCCAAATGCTCGTCGTGGACAGCACGCAAGTGCATTTTCGACAACACACCGAGCCGCTCGATCGTGCGGGTTGCACAGTGTTGAAGATACGAGCTGCTCCGGTATTTACTCGTTGCTGTAGTGCCATTGTTGTCCGCAATTTGGCATGCACAGGCGTGCAATTCATCCAGTTCGGGTCCTTTTGTATCCTTTCGAACAAATCCGGTTGGCGCAAGAATCCCGTATTGATCGAGATGCACGGTCGAGCACGCTTCACGATATCGTACGCCTCTAGCAGCGTCTTCTCTTGAGTAGCCATCATGTATGTCACACAGATCATCGCACTACGCGATTCGCCGTACACGCAGTGCACAAGTGCTGCTGCTGCTTGACGCGTTAGAAATCCATTTAGAAACTGGATGCACTCGTTGAAATGAGGCAACAGGAGCTCGTCCTCCATGTCGAGGATATCAATCAGCAGGACGTCACACGACTACAAAACAAACAACACAATAACAACCCAATGAGTTCAACTTCTGCACACGGTTCCGCTGCTGCGTTACAATCATAACATCCAGCCAACCTTCACCGTGAGATATCCTGTCCCCAATGCAGTAATGGCCTGACTATTATTGGCGTTTAAAACTGCGACGTCCTAATCAAGTGAGGTACGAGAGCGATTATTTGAGAGCGTTAGAAATGTCTTCATCCATCCCTAGGATAACGACAACGCGACGAACCTGTGCAGCTCTTGCTTCGCCAAGGAACAAGAGCAAGTCTACAATACGTGCTGCTGTTGGAACCCCTTCTAGGGCCACGTGGTGATGCTGTCGCTGTACGAGCAGGTCCACGAGCGGCGAATTGGGTGCCATGTCGAACTTCTATCGCGCGTGCCACACATGCGCGGGAGTAAAATAGCTGTACCAACAACGAAGAGCAGCGACTGTAACGGGCGCCCTTTTGTTTGGGGTGCCGAAAAACTTTTATTACACTAGTATTTGCAGAGGAAGCTAAACTACTTGAACAACTCGATCAAGTAAGGTAGAAAGAGAACTTTTTTAATGTAGTTAATCTATTACTACAACTTTAATCTTTGTCTGGCTATCTTAAACTATGCCGTCGTATGACGACAACCTCCTCACCACTTATTGCGCGCGTCTAGCAGCGATTGGTGGCAATCTATGGTTAATATGTCTTATATCAACCAATCTTGGAGCAGCGAATGAATATTCTCCAAACGGGGATAACATTCCTTCAATTTTATCCATCCCGGATAATGTTGGAAGAATATTGTCACTCTAGACAATATTCCAATCGACACCGTTTGGTGTCAATATCATGTAACGGGCTACCCCGTTACATCAACCCCCCCCTTAACCATCAATCACCGGTTGATTGAATTAGAATTGATTGGGACAGGGTGACCACCTTCAGATCACTCCAAGGAAGAGAGCACTTGTTGATCAAATCTTATTCATTTGCCAATCCATCGCACGGTTTCTAAAACCAAGAGAGTTGCTACTTCAGCAGCAAGAAGGGCGGCTGCACGCATACCTGCGGCCGCGGAAATTGTCTCTCACGCCTCAGCAGCAGGTGCTTCGTCGCCTTTCGTAGTGAACCGTCCGCGTGGTGAGTCACCACGTGCGACAGGTACATCTGTTGCGTCTGCAGCGGGTACCTCGAATCGTAAACCAAACGAGTCTGAGATAGAGCTCATCTATTCTGGCGAGTCGGATGATTCGACCGACTCGAAGGGGACACCTCGCGCCTCCGGGTCACCCGGGGCGCACAAGGCAAGAGCCAGGTTGACTGGCTCTGGTCAACGCGGCGGGATCATGACCGAGATCTTCGGATCGAGTAATTATTTCGATGAGTCTCCGCCTCACGCAAGTCCATCCAACGATAGGACGCGAGGAGATGGTGGTGATGCACCTATGCTTTACCACGAGCAAATTAACTCAAGGAAACGGGGTAACATTGGTGCCAGTGCTCATGCTGGCACCAATCAAGAGACCAGGGACCGAAATTTCCTGCGCCACGCTCCTCAAGTGGAGTGTCCGTGGATGCCGCCATCCAGAGAGTTGGACCGGTTGGCTGGCATGACTACCGAACGGGATCGAATCCCGTTGTTCGATTGCAGGAAGATTTGTCCGCCTAATTCCAGCACGGAAACTATCCGTATCGAATCCCGTTGTTCGATTGCAGGAAGATTTGCTCTCCTGATTCCAGCACGGAAACTATCCGTGCTGAGTAAGAATTCTTCATCGGTGCATTTTTCAAAAATTAATGGTACATTGGTAGCCGTGTGTGAGACGGTAGAGCCTTGGTGCAAAGATGGAATGCCTTCATCCATAACATCGAGAGCATTTGCCGTGAGGCCTGGCTCGCCGAACCTGATGCAGCTCGCATCAGATTTGAGAAACGCAACCCAGTCGGTGTACGGTACAAGTTGCACCGTCTTTCAAGAGAGGCAGGGTTACCCTGTCTCTCGTGGGTGCTTCGTGTCCAGATTGCCTGGACAACTCGAACCGTGCCCCTAGAAAGGCCTACCTCCCTAATGATTCCTACTGGAGGGCTTGCATCTGTTCTGATATGGCTGAAGGGATTCACACTTTGCAATCTCTGTCTTCGCGTTCGGGGAGGTCGTTTTCCGACGGCCCTTCTTCGAACGCAGCGGGTAGGCCTCGTCGTACTGCTCGACGGGACCAAGGACATCACCAATCAGCTGGGTACGGGGCTCCCAGCTGTCCTAGGCCGGTGGATAGCCACGCCAGGGGACGAGGTGACCCGTCTGGACGCCACTAACGTCGCGGTGGCTCAAAATACGCCTCACCAGAAAGCGTTGACCACCGCTTGAGTCCACAAAAAGATGTGGTGGCGGCGGGAACATTTGATCCGGCTCGAGGGTCGGATCAAGTTGATGTTCAAGAGCTGAACCGTCTAACGGAACATTTGCAAGATGACCTGACTCATGAACGAACTTGTCGTTATAAGCTCCATGATCTTGTAAGGGACAATTACAATTCCTTAGCGCACGATCGTTTGGAAGATTGTGCTTTTATGCGTTCGCGCAACTTAACAACGAAAGTTCAACTCGTTCTCTTCGTGATGAGCTGGCTGCAGCTCGTCGAGATATCGCTGAGCTGCGTGAGCAGGTCGCTTCAATCGTCGACCAGAATGGCTCGTTGAAACGGGACCACGAGAAGGTGGTCTCGGCTCTCGACCGCGGAGGTGTTCTTCGCATCTCAAAACGGGCTCGTACTAATAGTACGGGCGGAGACATCCAACGTAAAACGAAGGATGCGTGCGCATCTTACGAGGCAGTTCAATCGTGTATGCGTTGCCCATTCGGCGCAACAAACGAAATGGACCGATGTACCGGGCACGTAATTTACTGCTGCCTACGTTTGTCACTGCGTGCTTCGGTAAGTTTAATGTAGACAGTAAAACTAGGTCTCCTTCATCAAATGACAGAACATTTGCTCTTGCATGTTTGTCTGCGTTTCTTTTTCTGTCTGTCTATTGCATCTGCAATAAAGTCTTGAACGAAGCGGACAACCGCTTCGCGAGTCAGCAAAAAATTCTCTGATGATTCATCCTAATCAACAGCAGTGAGCTTCGTGTGAACTGCTGAAAGAACGTTGTCTTCACCGCTGAGGGTATCTTCTTCCTTACTTTGGCGGTCATTGGCGATGCTAAATATACCAGCATCGTCGTCACCATCATCATCAGTTTCGATCGCATCGACATCGGCATCCATCACGTCGACGCCATTGTCGACGAGTGATGAGCAAGAAACAGATCGGTTTTTGTTCGAGCGAGTCCACCCCCCACTAAACTAAAGCCACACTCTAAGAAGGCGGGTGAACGTGGATGGCGTAGGCCATTCACGAAGAATGGTGTTGCGTTGTCGACGCATGCACCGAGTTGTTGAAGGCGAATTCCGCCATCAGCAAGAACTCACTCCAGCTCGTAAACGAGTGGACGTACCCTCGAAGTATCTCTTCGAAGACGCGGTTGACGCGTTCCGTCTGACCATCTGTTTCTGGATGTTCAGAAGTTGACATCGACGAACAAGTTCCAAGTGGACGGAACACGGATTGCCAGAACTCCGCTGTAAAACGGGGGTCCCTATCGGACGCGAGTTCACGGTGTAACCCGTGAAGTCGGAAGATAGTATCGATGAAGACACGCGCACAGCCGTGGGCTGTGATTGACTCCGGTACAGCAACAAGATATACAATCTTGCTGAACCGATCAACAAACACAAGAATACCAATATTCTTGTGGACGTCTTTGGAAAACCCGAAGACGAAGTCCATCGATACGGACTGCCAACACTCTGCCGGAATCGGAACAGGCTGCAAGGGTCCGCAGGATGAAGGACTAGGCTTCATCCGTTGACAAACTTCGCAAGCGCGAATTTATTTCCGCGCAAACTCATACTAGCGGGGCCAGTAGAAGTTACGACTCACCATGAGGTTAGTCTTTTCTCTACCGCGATGTCCACTTGTAGAGGCATCAAGACACTCATACATGATGCGCAATCGAAAATCATTATGAGCCGGACCGACGACACGAGGTGTGTCGCCGTTGACTGCTGTAAAGTACAGCAGTCCATCACGAACAGAATACCGTTCGGTTGAAGAGCGGTATTGAAATGACAAGCTTTTCAAAGCTTGACTGCACGGATTGGATACGTAATCCATCAATCGCAGAAGAGACTCATACTCTGCGTATGTTTTTCGCACGTCGTCGAGCAAATTCGCAACGGAACACTCACTGTTAGTGTCGCGACAGTGGGATCAACCCTACTGTTGTGTTGAGCAGTTGGCTTGAAATCGGGTCGACGTGACAGAGCATCAGCGACGACATTAAGTCGTCCTGGTTTAAACTCAACGAAAAAGCTGTACTCCGCGAATAAACACAGCCACCTCGCCATTCGCTGCAAGAGGTGTGGACGGTTTACGACCGTGCGTAACGAAGCCTGGTCGGTATAAACGATGAAGGGTCTATCTCCTAAGAGACATACCCGACACTTAGCCAGTGCAAATTTCATGGCAAGGGGTTCCTTGTCATGAACCGGGTAATCACGCTTAGCTGCTTGCAGCTGACGCGATTGATAAAAGACGATGCGCTCATTTCCGTCTGAGTCGTACTGCATTAATCCGCAGCCGTTTGCAAAATTGCTGGCGTCACAGACCACATGGAATGGTATATCCTGGTCCGCAATCGCCAACACAGGCGATTGCACCAAGCTTTACTTGATACCTTTAAAAGAGTGCTGACACTCAGCGCTCCATGACCACCTCCGTTTTTCTTTTGCAGACGAGAGAGATGTACAGTCATCTCGGCATAGTTGCGCGAGTATTTGTACAAATACACTGCCCAGCCAAGAAACTTTCGAAGTCCCTTGACGTCGGCTGGCACCCGCCAGTCGCTAATCGCCTTGATCTTTTCTGGATCAGGGTGTACACCGTTTTTACCTACGATGCAGCCAAGAAGTGGTATTTCGTTCGCTGTGAATATTCACTTCTTAAGGTTCGCGAACAACTTACGCTCCCGCCTAAGTGTAAGAGCTTTCCAAACAAGAATCTTATGAATCTCCACTTCCTTTTTTTCCATCCATAGCCAGGCTATGGACGAAGACATCGTCGAAGTCACTCGGTGCGAGATCGCGCACCGATAGCAACAGCTTTGTAGCACATATGTTGAATGTTGCAGGGGCGCCACTTAGCCCCTGTGGCATCACTAGCCGCTCCCAGAGCATGCAACTGGGAGTGCTCACTACTGTGTATGGGATGTCCCGTTCTCGCATAAGGATTTGATAGAAGCCATCCATTAAATACATGGACGAAAAGATGGTACTCTTTGACATACCATCTATGATGACGTTCTTTCATGGTATCGGCGTCTGAGCCGGTACCGTTGCAGCGTTCAGTTTTTTGAACGCGTGCACTATCCGCCACCCTCCTGTGGCTTTGTGCATACATGAGGTCGGAGAGCTGTGTGGGGATGTTGATCCCCTCACATGACTAGCCGCTAAACGATCGGCAAAGAATTTGTCGATCGCTGTAACCTGTTCACGAGGCAGTGGCCACTGCTCCATGACACAGTATTTTGAACCAGGTTTTAGTTCGATCTCTTGTCGAGTGCATTTGTCCTTGGGCAGCTCGCATGGCACGGACTCCGGGAAAACATCCCTGAATTCAACTAAATCCTTATGCAAAGGATTTGTCTCTAAAGACTCCCAAGATTGAGACGTGTATCGCTCAATCCGGGTCTTCTCATCGAGGACACTCTCGTCCATAAATGAGCTACTGAGAACCCGTTCGTTCTCAGCAAAAACTTGTGCCGACAGAATATCGGCAACGTACTCGTCCTCTGTGACGAGTACGCAGATCTGCTTAATATTGTTGCTACGCAGATCTCGCAAGAATGTTTTAGATTCTAGCGTTGGCAACTTGAATACCTTTGGAGCTGACTTGGGAGGTGTAACCAGATCAAATATATAAGCGCCTACACTTGATCCGTCATTCACCAAGACATTCACTGTCTCGGTGATTTCCTGTGAAAACACATCCGCAGGTGGTTGGGTATCTACCTCCTCAACATAACTCGCTCGGGAATTATCACTCTCAGGAACGCTGGAACTTTCTTCTAATACGTGCACTGACTGTGGGTGTACTACCACAGTAACGTCCTCTTCGATCAACTCTTTTTCAGTCGATCGGGCTTGCTCTACGATCGACTCTCTGATAGTCGATCTCGCTTCAACGTGTTGTTTATCCCGAACAACAGTAATCTCTCTTCTTGGATGCACCCTTCTTGGTGTGCATCCGTGTTCCAGTCCACTCGATCTCTTCGAGTGGTAAACCCTCGGCGCAGCCTGTGTCTCTACACAGGTGCCAAAAGCTGGTTCCAAAGTGTAGTGGACTTCTCTACACATGTGCCGAAAGCTGGTTCCACAGTGTAGTGGAGCTCAAAACCGCGATCTTGCGGTCATACTAACGATCGTACCACAAGTGAGGCCATCGCACTCACTCGTAGTGCATCCACACACTTGTGGACGCTCCAAGACGTTCACCAGATGGTCATCTGATGAACAAACGGCAGGCATTTTCACGGATCGAGACTGCCAGCTAACCCATGGCTGGTATTTTCTTTGCCATGGCAGACCGAGGGTGACATCAAATTTTTCATCCAAATCTAGTACGATGAAGGCATCATTGTACTGCTTTTCTTCTAGCGTGTAGTGGATCCCCACTACTCGTTTGTTCACTGTTACGTATGCGACTGTAGCAAGGCACACCATCATCCTCGTTGGAGGAAACTCTCGCTCAACATAGTTGAGCCTACTATCCCTCAGCGACTGGCGTCGAAAAAAACTGTTTCTACGCCCCACAGCTGACTAGGGCGCGAAGTGACATTCCACTAGTCACTTCGATCTTTTAAGTGATGAGAGAATCCTCATCACTAGGGGCAGTAACACACAGCGACTGTGTGTTGGGAGCAAATCATGTCAAGAGTCCTGCAAATTCTCTTGACGCTGCTGGATCAGCAGGGTGCTTCGCCCCTACTGACCCTGTCCGTTTATTGGCGGACCGACTTGCTGTCGTGGTTTAGCGACATGGTCAGACCCACGCCTTGGACCCTTCCTTGTCCAACGGCGGTCATCACGTCCTGTCTTTGGACGTGTCGCAGTGCTCGGGACACTACACTCATTAGCGTAGTGTCCAATCTTCTGACAGCGGTGGCATCTTGCCGTTCGCATGTGACTCAGATAGCGAGAGTTGTCACTCTCGATGTAACAGAGGTCCATTGGTTCGGGACCTCCTGTTTCCCGTCGTCTCGTCGGACGATAGTTTGACGAGTTAGCCTGAGACTGTCTCAGGCTGAATTCTTCTTGTTCCGCATACGCTATCACCCTTTCCAGCGTATGGAAGTCCTCTCGGAACATGTAGATCTTCACCGGTCCATCTACAAGGCCGTAGATGAACACGTTGATGAGCGTATGCTCATCAAAAGGGTTCTCCGTGACGATACTCGCATGGTAGCGTAGGTGTTGTGCGTAAGCGTGCACGTCACGCTTACCTTGCTTTAGCCTCAAGAGTGCAGAGCGTGCTCTGGACTCGACTCTCGGCGGCTCAAATGTCTCTTTAAGCCGAGACTTGAAGACATCTAACGACTCAAACACGTTTGGTTCGTGAAGCTTGACCCCTAAGGCCCAAGTCTTTGCTCGTCCCGTCAAATTTGACAGGGCGAAGGTGACTTGCATCTCGTCACCCTCGATGTGACGGGCCCTGATTGCGTCGTCTAACTTGACGAACCATATTAAAAGGGAATCTTCGTCAGTTCCCTTGTACCATGAAATATCAATTTTCAAGGTTTGGGGTCGACGCATGTGCGTCGGCCCGCCCATCGACTGCTGAGAGCCTTGGTGTTTGAACCAATGCTATAGTCTTGCTTTCGAAGGCAAACATCCCTTTAGAAAATTGTAGATAGCAGCATTTTGCTGATCTCTGCTTAGAGACTCCAACCTACCACTGATGGCGGGTTCTCCCATGAGCACACTCATGCATCCGACTACGTCCCATTCTGAGTCACTCAGATGGGAGTAGCCTTCACGTTCAACGTGAAAGCTGTCGTCTTCTACTCCAAAACATGTTCATTTTGGACGGAAACTAAGTAGTCGTTGGACGGAGTACGAAGTGCTACCAGCTGAAACGGGGTACCCTTTGTCCGGGTGCCACGAAACTTCACGTACACTAGTGCGTGCAGAGGAAGCTAATCTACTTGAACGACTCGTTCAAGTAAAGGAAAAAAGAGAACTGTATTTAACGCAGTTTAGCTATCAATTTAACTTTAATCATTATCCATCTAAATTAATCTACACTGTCGCATGACGACAACCTGCTCACCACTCATTGCGCGCGTCTAGCAGCGATTGGTGGCAATCTATGGTCGACAAGTCTTACATCAACCAATCTTGGATCAGCGCATGAAACATATCCAAAAGGGAATATTTTCTTCAATTTTTCCCATCCCGGATTAAATTGGTAGAATATTGTCATGCTAAACAACATTCCTATTGAAACCGTTTGGTGTCAATATCATGTAACGGGCTAGGAATGCGAGCGACCACATGAGAGCGTTGGAAATGTCCTCATACATCCCTAGGATGACGAAAACGCGACGAACATGTACGGCTCTTGCTTCGCCAAGGAACAAGGGCAAATCTCCAATACGTGCTGCTGTTGGAACCCCTTCTAGGGCCACGTGGTGATGCTGTCGCTGTACGAGCAGTTCCACGAGCAGCGAATTGAGTACCATGTGGATTTCTATCGCGCGTGTCACACAAGCGATTGCCACACAAGCGATTACGATTCATACGTGTTTCTACCTGTAAGTGTCGGATGAAAGAGCCGCTGCGATCAAATTTAAGGTCCCGGTGTTCTGCTGGTGTTGTTGCATCCCTTACTGCTGCTTTTGGGCACGTGAGAAGTTCGTCAAGCACCGTAACGGGAGCAATGCGACGAAAGAAGTGCACGGATGTTTGCATCAGTTCGAAGAGCTGCTGGGCCATGATGCCTTCCGGTCGTCTTCACACATTGACCTGCACGAGTTTGGCCAGTATTTGGCGCAAACGTACAGACAGCCAAGTGCACAGGCGATGGGCGTGGCAGTCGATCCATCTGGATTCGGCGTCTATGTTGGCATGCTGCATCGTATGGCCACACATGAGATGAAAGAGATGAAGACGCACGAGCAACAGCTGCAACGTGAAGTTGGGGAAAAGCTATTGCAAATCACTAAGGAGAAATTCAGCGACGACGATCGACACCAGACGCTGCAGGAACTGCTTGAGCAATTCAATGGACGGTCGAGTCAACAGGAGAAACGATGAAGTTTCGCATCATAGACGTTAAGGAAAGAAGGACAGTGTGTAGTCGCTCTCGTTGGATATGCGCACGCGCGTTACTGATGTCGATGTGTACCTAGACAATGTACTGCGTCGTAAAGCTGCGGTAGATGCAAACAGCCAACAGAATTATTGTAAACCCATCTAATTGCAGGAGATTGCGGAGACCGACCCGAAACTTTGCAATCAGCTGTCGCGATTTTTGACTTCATCGCAAAAGAGGCGACATCACTCGAGACTCAAGGTCGTGACGTATGTTGCTGTGACTGCGCATGTTTCTTGATTGTGCTTTTATTGTAAACAATTGTAAAGTCGCGAAAACCGTGTTTACCGGATCGATATATTTAAAACGTTCATCGCTTGACTACGGTCAAAGACATTGTAAGTGTAAATGAGTTGACACTTGAGATGGTCAAACAAAACGAATCAGCTCGATCGTAGTGGCTCAACTAGCGTTGGCGCTTGTTCTTTAAATGGAGCAGTGTCCGTCTGTACCACGTCCCATCTTCCCCATCTTATTCAGGATCACGAGTAGCAACGAGCTGTGTAAACTCCTTGGTATTCATCCCAATGCAAATAAGCTTCAACCTGAACATGTTCGCGGGATGAGCATCTGCAGTACCTGCTTGGGTAGCATGGCACTTGATGTGCCTGCGTGATTCCTTCAGAGGGCGCAGTGCGTGGCTATACTCAATGGTGCAGTGATTTTCATCACTTGAGTGCAGCTTGGTGAGCTGGTTGAAGTCCCAATCAGTGGGACTAATATTCTTCTCGTAGATGCCGCATGCTTTGGAAGCAATATCCGACAGCACACTTAGTACAAGACGGATACTCGCTTCAACGAGGTTGTATAGGTTCTGGATATCGATATGAATCCACTAGTAAACACATGCACACAGAAGAGAAACGTCATCAACAAGTAAATTGATAGATCGATAAAAGAATCATGCACTCACCATGATCATTCAAGCTGATTAAGTTGTTAACGCGATTGTGTTGTAGAATCGAGTGTTGCTGAAGTCGATTTTTTCAGAATGAAGTCGTCCTCGCTCACGCCTTTGCTCCGACCCGTGAGATGCACCGACCCGAGTCTGCGACGTGCTAGTAAGTACGCATTTTTCTCACCAATTAGGCATACTCGCCGTGCTTGTTCAACCCATCAAGCGTCTATTGTAACGGGGCACCCTGAAGCTTGTACTGGTGACAGTACAAGCTACTTATTCTGATAACAGAATAAGGCGGTGCCTCGTAACTTCACGTACACTCGTACGTGCAGAGGAAGACGGTAAGAAGAAGCGAGTACTCGGTTAGAGTAAAAAGTAGAACTGTATTTATAATAGTTAATGTCTGCAATAAATCACTATTTATCTTCATCTAACTATGTCTAAATACAAATGTGTAAATCAGTTATCTGCTCACCACTCATTGCGTGCGTCTGTCGTGGCGCGTCTTCGTTGGTTGATATAATGGCCTATATCAACCAATTAGGAACTACTTGGAAGTGCTACAGAATATTGTCCTTATGACAATATTCTGAGAATATAACTCTTATAGTTATATTCTATTAACAATTTCTTATAAATTGTTATGTAACGATTCACCCCGTTACATCACCCCCTTAACCATCAGTCACTTTAGTGACTGATTGACTAAATGGATACTCGTCCCAAATCATTTGGGACGGGGTTTGCACTTGTTGGTCCGCGTCCACTTTCCAACATCTCATCGCATGGTAAACAAGCCCATGCGATGCGCGAGCAAGGCCGCCGAGAGCGCGTCTGCACGTCTCTGTGCGGACGCCGAAGCAGAAACTACAGCAACTGATATCCCATCGGTTGCTGAATCGACTCAGCCTGTATCACCTGGTGATGCAGGCGCTGGTCATGAAGACACTCGTGTCTTCACAGAGTACGAGCTCGGTGTCTCGTACTCTCCTGATACGGATGACGGAACCGTATCGACGGCGATTGAATCTAAGCCGCCTGCCAAGCGTGGCATGGACGATGCTTTGCGTCGCAGCATCTTTAGTTCATCTGACTCATCAGATGAACCATCGCCGAAGCGAAGGCGCTCGAGGTCGCGAGACTCGGGCGCTAATAGTGGTGTCGTTTCTCCAATGGACACCACTTCACAGCGAGGTGCCAGTACTTCTGTCGGCACGTCGCAGGAAGAGCGGGACCGCAATGTGTTGCGTCTCGCTCCAGAAAAGAAGGCATGGATGCCTCCTAAATCTGTCATGGATCACTTGTCGGCGACGACGAGTGATCGTTATCGAACACGATCGTTCGATTCGTCGAGGATTCATCACCTTGACCCCAGCGCGAAAGACTATCGCGCTGAACATGAGTTCTTCATCGATGCTTTCTTCAGACATCGATGGTACAGTGGGAATCACAAACGTGATGGTCCCTCACTACTTCAGGCGTGGAACGCCTACATCCATAATCTCGAGGATGTAGGTCGTGACGCTTGGAACGACAAACTTATCAAAGCTCGTGATAAGTTTGAAAAGCGAACCCCGACAGGTGCACGCTTCAAGCTGCATCGTCTGTCAAGGGAGAAAGGATTACCCTGCCTCTCTTGGGGAGACTCGTGCCCATGTTGTGTGAACAACTCTGCACGAGCACCTAAGGAGGCTTACCTCCTTACCAGCCCGTGGTGGCGCGTACGTGTCTCTACTGAGATGTACGAAGGGATTGACAACCTGAAATCCCTTTACGACCGTGCCGGGAAGACTTTCTCCGGCGGTCCTTCTGCGGCACAGGATGTGTCGCGTCGTACTGCTCGACCAGACCCAGTACGTCAACCATCAATTGGGAGCGGGGCTCCCAAGAATCCCCAGGACGGGGGATAGCCGCGCCACCGGACGAGGTAACTCGTCCGACGTCCGTTCACGTCGCGGTGGTTCAACAGCTGCTCTACTAGATAGCGCTGGCCACCGCGAGAGTCCTCTAATGGAGGTGGAGGAGGAGGAAAGACGCTCTCCACACGATCATGTGGATCGGTGTGTTCCCGAGAGCTTCTTTGATCGCGTAACGCAAGGGTTACGCGACGATCTCGAGCATGAGCGGAATAGGCGTCTCCAGATGGTGGACACTGCCTCGAAGCATCGAGCTGAGTTTGCCTTTGCTCAGCTTGAGAACGAGAGATCTCTGACATCTCTTCGTGACGAGCTAAGGGTAGCTCGTGGGATTGTTGATCGGTCTCGGGCTGAGATAACTGCTCTTCAGACCCTTGTTGATGCCCACCATCGGGAGCACAAGGCTCTCTGCGAGATGCTTGAGCGCAAGGGCGTTCTTCATCGGAAGAAGCAGCGTACTGATGGTACGGCTTAAGCCGACCAACGTAAAACGTGGGATGCGTTCGCATCTTACGTGGTAACTCGATCGTGTATGCATTGCCTAGGCGGTGCAATACACGAAATGGGCCAATGTACTTGGGTAGTAGTTTACTGCTACCCAAGTTAGTCACTACATGTTTTGGTAGATTAACCGTAGACAGTAGGACTAAGTCACCTTTATTAAATAAAAGAGTGTTTGCCCTTCCATTCTTGTCAGCGTTTTGCTTTTGCTTATCCACCGCTTCGGCGATGGAGTCTTGCACAAAACGGACTACCGTTTCACGAGCCAGTATGAACTCATCTGATGACTTGTTAGCTTCAGTGTGCTGTGAGCGCACTGCAGCGACAACAACCTTTTCTTCAGTGAGGGCTTCCGCACTCTCACTGGGATCATTGTCTTCAGTGAGGGCTTCCGCACTCTCACTGGCATCATCTTCTTCGATATTGATGTTATCGATATCGGCATCAAACGCAATGACTTCTTCGTCAGAGCGTGATGAGCGTGAACCAAATCGGTTTTTGCTCGCGCGAGTCCCTCCCCCCCTTAAACCAGAGTTACACTCTAGTAAGGTGGGTACACGCGGATGGCGCAAGCCATTCACGTAAAACGGTGTATGTGTCGTGGACGCATGCACCGAGTTGTTGATGGCAAACTCTACCATCGGCAAAAACTCACTCCAACTCTTAAAGGAGTGTACGTATCCTCGAAGTATCTCTTCAAGGACACGATTGGCACGTTCCGTCTGACCATCTGACTCTGGATGATCAGATGTTGACATCTTCAAGCGCGTTCCGAGTGATTTGAACACGGAACGCCAGAAATCAGCAGTGAATCGTGGATCTCTGTCTGATACGAGTTCACGGGGCAACCCATGAAGTCGGAAGATGGTGTCAATAAAGACACAAGCACAGCCACTTGCCGTGATTGTCTCTGGTACAGCCACAAGGTGTACCATTTTGCTGAATCTGTCAACAAATACGAGAATACCCGTATTCCCGCGTGCGTCTTTGGGTAACCCGAAGACGAAATCCATTGAGATGGATTCCCAGCACTCAGCCGGAACCGGTAGAGGCTGTAAAGGTGCACGCAGTGAAGGACTTGACTTCACTCGTTGGCAGACTTCGCATGCGCGAACATACTTTCGCACAAACTGATACTGGCGGGGCCAGTAAAAGTCTCGACTTACCGTGAGATATGTTTTCTCTCGGCCACGATGTCCTCCTATAGGAGCATCGTGATACTCGAACATGATCCGCAAACGCAGATCAGTATCATCTGGAATGACAACACGTGGTGTGTCACCAGAAACGGCTGTATAGTACAGTAAACCGTTACGAGTAGTGTATCGATCTGATGCAGATCGATACGCAGACGACAATCGTTTCAACGATTCTCGAGATGGTTGGGAGAGATGTGACAACAACTTCACTATCTCACCATCTTGGGCGTATGCCCGCCTCACATCATCATACAACGTTGTAGATGGAACTGAGGACGTCATAACCGCAACAGTGACTGTCTCACTGTTGGGTTTCGCGACTGTTTCAAAGTCGGGACGACGTGAGAGTGCATCAGCGACGACATTAGGTCGTCCTGGTTTGTACTCGACCGTAAAGTTGTATTCTGCAAAGAATGACAACCACCGCGCCATTCGTTGTGAAAGGTGCGGGCTGTTCACTGCCGTGCGTAAGGACGCATGGTCAGTGTAAACAACGAAGGGTCTATCTCCTAATAGATAGACTCTGAACTTCGCGAGTGCATACTTCATGGCAAGGAGTTCCTTGTCATGCACTGGATAGTTCCGCTCAGCTGGTTGCAGCTGACGCGACTGATAGCAGACGACGCGTTCAACGCCTTCAAGATCGTACTGCATTAATGCACAGCCGATTGCGAAATCGCTGGCATCACAGACCACATGAAATGGCCTGTCCTGATCGGCTATTGCTAGGACTGGGGATTGTATCAAGCTCTGCTTGATACCCTCAAAGGAGCGTTGACATTCAGCGTTCCATAACCACCTCTCGTTCTTTTTCAACAAACGAGAGAGGTGTATAGTCATCTCGGCGTAATTGCGTGAATACTTATGCAAATACGCCGCTAGCCCAAGGAATTTTCGAAGACCTTTGACATAAACCGGCACAGGCCAGTCGGTGATCGCCTTGATCTTTTTGAGATTAGGACGTACACCGTTCTTACCAACGATGCACCCAAGAAGTGGTATTTCGCTTGCTGCAAATATACACTTCTTGAGGTTTGCATACAATTGATGCTTTCGCATGATTGTAAGAACTTGTCGGACGTGGTACTTGTGAACCTCAACGTCCGACTTTCCATCCATAGCCCGACTATGGATGAATACGTCATCGAAATAACTCGGCGCGAATTCTCGTACTGGCCTCAACAGATGTGATACACACCTGTTGAACGTGGCAGGGGCATTACTGAGCCCTTGTGGCATTACTAGCCATTCCCAGAGCATGCCGCTAGGCGTGCTAACTGCGGTATAGGGTATATCCCGTTCCCGCATTAGGATTTGATAGAAGCCATCCATCAAATCCATGGACGAAAAGATGGTACTCTTTGACATACCATCAATGATTACGTCCTTCCTCGGTATCGGCGTCTGAGCCGGTACCGTTGCAGCGTTCAATTTGTTGAACGCGTGCACTATCCGCCACCCTCCTGTTGCTTTTCGCACACAGAAGGTCGGAGAGCTATGTGGGGAAGTTGATTCCCTCACATGGCCCGCTGCTAAACGATCGGCAAAGAACTTGTCGATCGCAAGTACTTGTTCACGAGGCAGTGGCCACTGCTTCATGACACAGTACTTCGAGCCTGGTTTAAGCTCGACTTCGTGTCGAATACCTTTATCCTTCGGTAATTCGCACGGAACAGTTTCAGGGAATACATCCTTGAATTCAACCAAATCTTCATAGAGAGGATTTTCCTTGAGCGATTCCCATGATTGGGACTCATATCGCTCAATTCGTGTCTTTTCAACTAGGACACTCTCGTCCATAGATGAACTACTGAGAACTCTCTCGTTCTCAGTAAACACTGTTGCTGACCTTATGTCGCTTACACACTCGTCGTCAGTGACGAGTATGCAGATCTGCTTGACTTTGCCACTACGCAGATCACGCAAGAACCTTTTATGTTCGAGCGTTGGCAACTGAGTGATCTCCGAAGTTAACTTCGGAGGCGCAATCAGATCAAGTGTATAAGCGCCTACATATGATCCGTTATTGACTATGACATTCAATGTCTCTGTCATTTCCTGGGGACTTATTCCCTCAGGCTTCGAAGGACTTATTCCTTCGTCTTCCCGGGGACTTATTCCCGCGGGTTTCGGGGAACTTATTTCCGCCGTATTTGTAATCTTGGGACTTATTCCCTTTACTTCCTCTAGCTGGGGTTGCGCAACCACAGCGAGATCCTCTACGAAAGACCCTCCAGTCGATCTAGGATTATCGTTTCGCTTAACCTGAGCGATCGATTGTTTCTCTTCTAGATGTTCCCCTCTAGGGATACATCTTTGTCCCAGTCCACCCGACTTATTCGAGTGGTGGACCTTCGGCGCAGCCTGTGTTTCCTCACAGCCGCCGGAACTTTGCTCCGAAGTGTAACCGTTTGGTACACTAAGGTTTTGTGCAGTCGTACTAACGACCGTACCACAAGTGAGGCCATCGCACTCACTCGTAGTACATCCACACGCTTGTGGACGCTCCAAAACGTTCATCAGATGGCCATCTGATGAACAAGCGGCAGGCATCGTTACTGTCCGATGTTGCCAGTTTACCCGTGGTTCGTACCTTCTGAGCCACGGTATTCCAAGGATGACATCAAATTTGTCATCCAAATCCAATACGATAAAGTCATCGTCGTATTGGGTATCTTCTAGCGTATAGTGAATCTTCACTATACGCTTCATGACGGTTACGGATGCGCCTGTCGCAAGACGTACCGTCATCCTCGTAGGAGGTGTGTCACATTCACTGAACTTAAAGTGACCATCTTCTAGCGATTGGCGTCGCACAAAATTGTTGGACGCCCCACAATCGACTAGAGCTCGAAGGGACAACTTATTCGTCACTTCGAGTTTCAAGGTAATGAGTGAGATCTCATTACCTAGAGCAGCAACGCACAACGTTTGTGTGTTGGGAGCAACCTTCATCAAGAGGCCTACAAATTCTCTTGACGTTGCTGGATTAGTAGGGTGCTCCGCACCTACTGATCCTGTCCGTTTTTTGACGGTCCATCCCGTTGTTGCGTCTTTGCACCAACTGCGGACCCTCGTCCCTGCCCCTTTCTCATGGGTGGACGGTCACTACGCCCAGTGTCGCGAGACACTGGACGAGGGGCACTACACTCGTAAGCGTAGTGTCCTGTCTTTTGGCATCTGTTGCATCTCTGCAACTTCTTGTAGCCTGTAGAGCGAGCCTTCTCGCTCTCTACATAACAGAGTTCCATCGGCTCTGGACCTCCGTTGTCATATCGTCTCGGTTGACGATATGATGTCGAGCTGGCGCGAGCCTGTCTCAGACTGAAGTCTTCCTGCTCCGCAATTGAAATGGCTTGTTCTAGTGAATCTAGTTCAAGCCGGAACAGGTGAGTCTTGACGGGACCATCCGCAAGACCCTGCATGAACACCGAAACCAACGTGTGTTCATCCACCGGATTGGAACTTATACAACTCGTGAGATGTCGTATATGTTGAGCGTAAGCGTGCACATCACGCTTACCCTGCTTGAGCTTCAAGAGTTCGGTTCGAGCTCTGAACTCAGCTCTAGGCGGTTCAAACGTTTGTCTGAGCCGCGACTTGAAGACTTCCAACGACCCAAACGCATATGGGTCGTGCAGCTTGAGCCCCAGTGCCCAAGTCTTGGCACGTCCTGCCAGATTTGACTGGGCAAATGCAACTTGCATATCCCCGTCGTCGATGCGACGCGCCCTTATGGCGTCATCCAATTCGACGAACCATCTCAAGAGGGAGTCTTCTTCGACCCCCTATACTTTGAGATGTCAATCTTCAAAGTCTCGGGCCGACGCGAGTGCATCGACCCGCCAGCAGCAGCCTGCTGCTGTCTCAACAGTTCAAACTGTTGAGCACCTTGTTCTCTCAACAACTCTGCTTGTTGAGAACCTTGTTGGTGAAGCAAGGCTACTTTCTCGCGTTCTGCGTCAAGTTCATTTTGAATGAACTTGGCGATAGTAGCATGTTGGGCATCCCTATTGAGAGCCTCTAGCATGACGCTAACAGCATGGATGCCCATGGTCGAACCCATTCGTTCAACCGCATCCCATTCGACATCGCTCAAATGGGAGTAGCCGTCACGCGTAGCGTGAAAGCTTTGGTCATCTTCATCATCCAACATATTCATGTTGGATGTGAACGCGGTCCTTGGACGGACTACGAAGTGCTACCAGGTGTAACGGGGCACCCTGAAGCTTGTACTGGTGACAGTACAAGCTACTTATTCTGATAACAGAATAAGGCGGTGCCTCGTAACTTCACGTACACTCGTACGTGCAGAGGAAGACGGTAAGAAGAAGCGAGTACTCGGTTAGAGTAAAAAGTAGAACTGTATTTATAATAGTTAATGTCTGCAATAAATCACTATTTATCTTCATCTAACTATGTCTAAATACAAATGTGTAAATCAGTTATCTGCTCACCACTCATTGCGTGCGTCTGTCGTGGCGCGTCTTCGTTGGTTGATATAATGGCCTATATCAACCAATTAGGAACTACTTGGAAGTGCTACAGAATATTGTCCTTATGACAATATTCTGAGAATATAACTCTTATAGTTATATTCTATTAACAATTTCTTATAAATTGTTATGTAACGATTCACCCCGTTACATCTATACTTTCTGCAGTCTCTCACTTGTTCTTCTACACTGAGGCCTGGTCGTCTCATGTACCTCGTCCCAAGACCAACTACATGGCTCACGTCATCTTAACCTACCTCACCTATAAAATAGTAACAATAATAAGTATAATAAACACCTGGACAACGGTATCTCCAGTTAGCACTCTCCGCATTATGTCAGCACTATGCATTCAGTCAGCACTCTCTACATTCAGTCACTATCTCTGATGTCCTGTCACCTCGGATTCTATCTTTGATTGAAATGTGTACACATGTGACATTCTCGACAGAAATACGGTCTCAAGTCGCACGCAGCAGCAGACGAGCACTTGTGCTGATTATAGCAGTAAACGAAAACGAAACGAGTAATCAAAATGATGACGACAATAATGACGATTACAAAGCGGACGTTAAGGAGAGCAGACGGTGCTGCTTGCCTAATTGAATAGATTGTCGAGCTCTTGTAGCAGCCAAATGATGGAAAGTCGGCGGCAGTAAAGGGGACAACAACTGGTGAGGTGCAAACGACAAAGAAGACACCAAACACACTTTTTCACCATCCTTTAGTCTACCACCGATGCCTATCAAATTCGTACGATCAACGTTACGTGTTCAGCGGAGCAGATATCCCAACTTCCTCAATGACATTCATTGCGCAGGTCGGTCTCATGATCCCCCTCCGCGATACGATACATCTTCGCCATCCTTGTGTCTACCGTGAAGCTGATGGGATCCCGACGCCACTGACAGACTACTGCGACAAGCATTCATTGATCCTGCTGGTGGCATTTTGATCGACGTTGTGCTTCCTTTCTCCATTGCGAGATTTAAAAGCTTCTGTCGCGTGACCAGGGAGCTGTACATGGACGCGGGCTCACCTTTCGATCCAGCCGCGCCCAACATCACAGCAGGCAGGGTTGATTGATCACTCGGTGTTGCTGGAAGCTAAGGAAAGCTGCAGGGTGGCGGGTGTGGCCTTTGACGTTGACCTACCGTCGTCGACATCGGACTCATGGAAGAAACTTGTGAATCACGATAATGTAATTGTGACGCCGCATATTGGCGCATTGACGACCGAAGCACGAGAAAAGGTGTCACGTGGCTTAGCTTGCAAGGTGAATGACGCGCTGGAAGGAAATTCGTTCAAGGGTGTGCTCAATGCGCCGAATATTGACTTTGGCAAGCGTGGGGAGATCGAGCCGTTGCTGTCACTAGCGGAAAAACTTGGCAGCATGCAGGCAAAGTTGCTTGGCATCAGCCGTTTGAAGCGCGTGCTTGTCATTGCGGAAGGGCCTAGGGTCACGTCATCAGAGCTTTCGAGCCAGTTGATGAATGGTGTACTGAAAGTTTTGCCATCGCACTTGCTGGAGGAAGAAGTGACGTTTGCACACGCCAAGCAGCTAGCAGACATCATGGGCATCCGGACTGTAGAGCAAAATCTTGACGAAGTTCTGGCAGTATCTTTTCCGACCAGCTTACCGTCTAATTCGAGAAGGAGAACGAGACATCGAAGACGATCACACCCACAGTGTTCGGCAAGGACCAATTTCGTTTTGTGTCGTTTGATGGTGTCCCGATGGATGCCATTCCGAGCAAATACATGCTATTGTTCAATAACACTGACCGGCCTGGTGTGCTGCACAAAGCGAATTCGGTGCTAGCGAAGCACGAGATCAGCATTAAATGTTTTGATCTGGCGCGAGAAAATTTTGGCACCGCTGCTGTTGGTGTGATGAATGTTGACGAGGCCATCCCCGATACCGTTAGAGAGGAACTGGGAGGGCTGGGCATGCTCACCAATCTTCGTCGTGCAAACTTGCTCGGGCTAGACTTGACCCTCCCTGATCGTATATAGAAGAAGTTCTTGAAGCCAAGCGCGGACAATGTCGACGAAGGAGCTGCTTGAGCAGAAAAAGAAGCTGGAGTTGCTATCGTGCACCATCCGAAACTACGCGCCAAGCCGGCTTCACCGAACTTTGGCTCGGGACTTCGGTAGAAACGCCCAGGATATTCACTCCGTTCAATTCCAGAAATCGTTCTGGGCCGCATTCACCGTTAGAAGCTCGGCAGGGGTTTGCTTGAGGAAGCCATCGTGCGCTCAAAAAGATTTTGGAGCTCCCAGAAGATCACCGTCTCGAAATCGTGCCAGCCTCGGACACTGATGCATTCGAGGTGGCAATGTGGTCCATGCTGGGTAAACGTTCCGTGGATGTGTGCTTTTGGGAGTCGTCGGTACGCAGTGGTTCGAGGATGTTACCACGGAGCTCAAACATGACACCGTGAGAGAGTTTAGGGCGCTGTTTGGCCAGACGCAGGGCCGACTGGATTCCAAACGATCACAAGGGTCTTATTGTAAACGATGCCACGTCGGCTGCTTTTGCAATGGACATTCCGTAGGACAAAATCGATGTGTGCACGTTTAGCTGGCAGAAGGGGCTCGGTGGCGAGGGCGGTCATGGCGTCATTATCTTGAGTCCCCGCGCAGTGAAAAGTTTATAGTCGTTCGTGCCTGAGAATCGCCAAATTCCCAAGATGTTCCGCATGTCACACGCTAGTACAGGCAAGCTTCTGGAAGATATTTTCGAAGGCAACCGCATCAACACGCCGTCGATGTTGTGCGTCGAGGACTACCTTGACGCCCCTGCGCCGAGAGCGTCGGTGGCCAGGACGGACTGATCGCAATTGCGCAGCGCAACTCGAAGGTGATCGAACACTTTGATGCCAAAAGCTCGAGATGGTTCCGATTCCTCGCGGCAATAAGGAGACTCCTTTCGACACGTCCGTATGCATGCTGATCAATGGTCTGTCGAAAGAGGAGGTAAAGCACATGCAGGTGCTGCTGGAGCGTTAACCAGTTGCGTATAACACATCGTGCCTATGAACATGGTCATGGACGGTGCCATGCTGCTGGCCAAGAGCGTGAAGATCGCCATCGTGGCCCAGTGGCTGAATTAGACGTACAACGCACTGCACTAATACTCCAACCGCAACGCCTCCAATACAGACACAGCAAAGCAGCGGCTCGTGGCATATGTAAGCTCAGTCGGAGCATCACTTGGTATTCGGCACTGGGCTAGCCGTCGAAGAAACGCCAAGTGGACGTCTGCTCTTGCTCGCGTGGGACCTTTAACTGCTGTTGCTGCTACCTACTTGATCAATCTAGCAGTCATGAGGCAAAGCGAGTCTCTTCAGGGAGTCTTCGTGTATGACGAGCAACGAGATGCAATTGGCAAGTCCAGGAGGTATGGAGCACTGGCAGTCGCTTCATGTGCGACCGCGAGGATCTTTGCTGCTGCACCGATCTTGCTGCTGCTACCACTGGTGATCTCGATGATCGAAAAGCACAGCACAGTGTTCACGCGATCCAAGACGCGGTGGCTGTGCGTGCCGACTCTGCTTGGCTTGGTTGGCTGTGCGATTCAGTTTTTGGTGCCCTTGACGTTTGGATTGTTCCGACAGACGGCGCAGCTTGTGTAACGGGGTGAATCGTTACATAACAATTTATCAGAAATTGTAACTAGAATATCACTGTAAGACTTATATTCTCAGAATATTTTGTCATAAGGACAAATATTCTGTAGCACTTACGAGTAGTTCCTAATTAATTGATATAGGCCGTTACATCAACCAACGAAGACGCGCCACGACAGACGCACGCAATGAGTGGTGAGCAGATAGTTGATATGCACATTTGTATTTAGACATAGTTAGATGAGGATAAATATTGATTTATTAACAGACATTAACTATGATAAATGCAGTTCTACTTTTTACTTAAACTAAGTACTCGCTTCTTCTTACCGTCTTCCTCTGCACGTACGAGTGTACGTGAAGTTCCGAGACACCGCCTTATTCTGTCATCAGAATAAGTAGCTTGTACTGTCATCAGTACAAGCTTCAGGGTGCCCCGTTACACCTGTTAGCACTTTGTAGTCCGTCCAAGGACCACGTTCACATCTAACGTGAATATGTTGAATGATGAAGATGACCAAAGCTTTCACGCTACGCGTGATGGCTACTCCCATTTGAGCGATGTCGAATTAATTGCGGTTAAACGGATGGGTTCAACCGTGGGCATCCATGCTGTTAGCGTCATGCTAGAGGCTCTCAATAGAGATGCCTAACATGCTACTATCGCCAAGTTCATTCAAAATGAACTTGACGCAGAACGCGAGAAAGTAGCCTTGCTTCACCAACAAGGTTCTCTTGAGCAGAGTTGTTGAGAGAACAGGGTGCTCAACAGTTTGAACTGTTGAGACAGCACTAGGCTGCTGGTGGGTCGACGCGAGTGCATCGACCCGAGACTTTGAAGATTGACATCTCTAAGTATAGGGGAGTCGAAGAGGACTCCCTCTTGAGATGGTTCGTCGAATTGGATGACGCCATAAGGGCGCGTCGCATTGACGACGGGGATATGCAAGTTGCATTTGCCCAGTCAAATCTGGCAGGACGTGCCAAGACTTGGGATTTGGGGCTCAAGTTGCACGACCCATATGCGTTTGGGTCGTTGGAAGTCTTCAAGTCGCGGCTCAGACAAACGTTTGAACCGCCTAGAGCTGAGTTCAGAGCTCGAACCGAACTCTTGAAGCTCAAACAGGGTAATCGTGATGTGCACGCTTACGCACAACATGTACGACATCTCACGAGTTGTAGAAGTTTCAACTCGGTTGTTGAACACACGTTGGTTTCGGTGTAGGCCTCTTGATGAAGGTTGCTCCCAACGCACAAACGTTGTGCGTTGCTGCTCTAGGTAATGAGATATCACTCATTACCTTGAAACTCGAAGTGACGAATAAGTTGTCCCTTCGAGCTCTAGTCGATTGTGGGGCGTCCAACAATTTTGTGCGACGCCAATCGCTAGAAGATGGTCACTTTAAGTTCATTGAATGTGACACACCGCCTACGAGGATGACGGTACGTCTTACGACAGGCGCATCCGTAACCGTCATGAAGCGTATAGTGAAGATCCACTATACGCTAGAAGATACCCAATATGACGATGACTTTATCGTATTGGATTTGGATGACAAATTTGATGTCATCCTTGGAATACCGTGGCTCAGAAGGTACGAACCACGGGTAAACTGGCAACATCGGACAGTAACGATGCATGCCGCTTGTTCATCAGATGGCCATCTGATGAACGTTTTGGAGCGTCCACAAGCGTGTGGATGTACTACGAGTGAGTGCGATGGCCTCACTTGTGGTACGGTCGTCAGTACGACTGCACAAAACCTTAGTGTAACAAACAGTTACACTTCGGAGCAAAGTTCCGGCGGCTGTGAGGAAACACAGGCTGCGCCGAAGGTCCACCACTCGAATAAGTCGAGTGGACCGGGACAAAGATGTGTCCCTAGCGGGGAACATCTAGAAGAGAAACAATCGATCGCTCAGGTTAAGCGAAACGATAATCCTAGATCGACTGGAGAGTCTTTCGTAGAGGATCTCGCTGTGGTTGCGCAACCCCAGCTAGAGGAAGTAAAGGGAATAAGTCCCAAGATTACAAACACGGCGGAAATAAGTTCCTCGAAACCCGCGGGAATAAGTCCCCGGGAAGACGAAGGAATAAGTCCTTCGAAGCCTGAGGGAATAAGTCCCCAGGAAATGACAGAGACATTGAATGTCATAGTCAATAACGGATCAAGTGTAGGCGCTTATACACTTGATCTGATTGCGCCTCCGAAGTTAACTTCGGAGATCACTCAGTTGCCAACGCTCGAACATAAAAGGTTCTTGCGTGATCTGCGTAGTGGCAAAGTCAAGCAGATCTGCGTACTCGTCGCTGACGACGAGTGTGTAAGCGACATAAGGTCAGCAACAGTGTTCACTGAGAAAGAGAGAGTTCTCAGTAGTTCATCTATGGACGAGAGTGTCCTCGATGAAAAGACACGAGTTGAGCGATATGACTCCCAATCGTGGGAATCGCTCAAGAAAAATCCTCTCTATGAAGATTCGGTCGACTTTAAGGATGTATTCCACGAAACTATTCCGTACGAATTACCGAAGGATAAAGGTATTCGACACGAAGTCGAGCTTAAACCAGGCTCGAAGTACTGTGTCATGAAGCAGTGGCCACTGTCTCGTGAACAAGTACTTGCGATCGACAAGTTCTTTGCCGATCGTTTAGCTGCGGACCATGTGAGGGAATCAACTTCCCCACGTAGCTCTCCGACCTTCTGTTTGCGAAAAGCAACAGGAGGGTGGCGGATAGTGCATGCATTTAACAAGTTGAGTGTTGCAACGGTACCGGCTCCGACGCCGATACCAAGGAAGGACGTAATCATTGATGGTATGTCAAAGAGTGCCATCTTTTCGTCCATGGATTTGATGGGTGGCTTCTATCAAATCCTTATGCGAGAACGGGATATACTCTATACCGCAGTTAGCACGCCTAGCGGCATGCTCTGGGAATAGCTAGTAATGCCACAAGGGCTCAGTAATGCCCCTGCCACGTTCAACAGATGTGTATCACATCTGTTGAGACCAGTACGAGAATTCGCGCCGAGTTATTTCGATGACGTATTCATCCATAGTCGGGCTATGGATGGAAAGTCGGACGTTGAGGTTCACAGGTACCACGTCCGACAAGTTCTTACAATCATGCGAAAGCATCAACTGTATGCAAACCTCAAGAAGTGTATATTTGCAACAAGCGAAATACCACTTCTTGGGTGCATCGTTGGTAATAACGGTGTACGTCCTGATCCCGAAAAGATCAAGGCGATCACCGACTGGCCTGTGCCGGTTGATGTCAAAGGTCTTCGTAAATTCCTTGGTCCAGCGGCGTATTTGCATAAGTATTCACGCAATTACGCCGAGATGACTGTACACCTCTCTCGTTTGTTGAAAAAGAACGAGAGGTGGTTATGGAATGCTGCATGTTAGCGCTCATTTGATGGTATCAAGCAGAGCTTGATACAATCCCCAGTCCTAGCAATAGCCGATCAGGACAGGCCATTTCATGTGGTCTGTGATGCCAGCGATTTCGCAATCGGCTGTGCATTAATGCAGTACGATCTTGAAGGCGTTGAACGCGTCGTCTGCTATCAGTCGCGTCAGCTGCAACCAGCTGAGCGGAACTATCCAGTGCATGACAAGGAACTCATTGCCATGAAGTATGCACTCGCGAAGTTCAGAGTCTATCTATTAGGAGATAGACACTTCATTGTTTACACTGACCATGCGTCATTACGCACGGCAGTGAACAGCCGCACCTTTCACAACGAATGGCGCGGTGGTTGTCATTCTTTGCGGAATACAACTTTACGGTCGAGTACAAACCAGGACGACTTAATGTCGTCGCTGATGCACTCTCATGTCGTCCCGACTTTGAACCAGTCGTGAAACCCAACCGTGAGACAGCCACTGTTGCGGCTATGACGTCCTCAGCACCATCTTAAACGTTGCATGATGATGTAAGGCGGGCATACGCCCAAGATGGTGAAATCGTGAAGTTGTTGACACATCTCTCACAACCATCTCGAGAATCGTTGAAACGATCGTCGTCCGCGTATCGACCTGCATCAGATCGATACACTACTCGCAACGGTTTACTGTATTATACAGCCGTTTCTGGTGACACACCACGTGTTGTCATTCCAGATGATACTGATCTGCGTTTGCGGATCATGTTCGAGTATCACGATGCTCCAATAGGAGGACATCGTGCCCGAGAGAAAACATATCTCACGGTAAGTCGAGACTTTTACTGGCCCCCCAGAATCAGTTTGTGCGAAATTATGTTCGCGCATGCGAAGTCTGTCAACGAGTGAAGTCAAGTCCTTCACTGCGTGCACCTTTACAGCCTCTACCGGTTCCGGCTGAGTGCTGGGAATCCATCTCAATGGATTCCGTCTTCGGGTTACCCAAAGACGCACGCGGTAATACGGGTATTCTCGTATTTGTTGACAGATTCAGCAAAATGGTACACCTTGTGGCTGTACCAGAGACAATCACGGCAAGTGGCTGTGCTTGTGTCTTTATTGACACCATCTTCCGACTTCATGGGTTGCCCCGTGAACTCGTATCAGACAGAGATCCACGATTCACTGCTGATTTCTGGCGTTCCGTGTTCAAATCACTCGGAACGCGCTTGAAGATGTCAACATCTGATCATCCAGAGTCAGATGGTCAGACGGAACGTGCCAATCGTGTCCTTGAAGAGATACTTCGAGGATACGTACACTCCTTTAAAAGTTGGAGTGAGTTTTTGCCAATGGTAGAGTTTGCCATTAACAACTCGGTGCATGCGTCCACGACACATACACCGTTTTACGTGAATGGCTTACGTCATCCGCGTGTACCCACCTTAATAGAGTGTGACTCTGGTTTAAGGGGGGGACTCGCGCGTGCAATAACCGATTTGGTTCACGCTCATCACGCTCTGACGAAGAGGTCATTGCGTTTGATGCCGATATCGATAACAACGATATCGAAGAAGATGATGCCAGTGAGAGTGCGGAAGCCCTCACTGAAGA